AACTGTGGTGCTAAGACTGTTAAATGTTTGACAATTCTGAAAAAGAGAAAAGAAAATGGAAAACTCAATGTGCAGCAATCAATAAGTAAACATGAGTCTTTCCCTCTCAGAATTCCATTATTTTGTCTATTGCATCTTTATCTTATCATTTTAGGATGACTTCCCAAAGCTTAAATAAGTTTTTTATTCACTACCATAAGGAATATGTATCAGAACATGGGTGCTGCCAAGAAGCCAGCCCTATCCCAAGAACATGAAGAGTTAGAGATCTTAATTACGTCTTATTGAAATTTTAGCCAACCTGATTGAAATTGATTCTGTATATTCCCTGTACTTCAGGCTTTACACTGGAAAGGAGAATCATACATTGCTACATTCACTACATTCTAGACCTAGTGAAAACATTTTACTGCATGTTTCTTAGACTGCAATCTTTGGGTCATACGATAGGTCAAGATTCCCCATCCCCCACACACTGGAACTGGATCTGAACTTCTAAGGAGGAAGAACATGATCAGGTTGCATCTCCTGCCTTCCTGCCAGCCTCCAGAAATATTCAAGAAGTTAGACAGAGGTCAGGCAGTTAGACATGAAACACTTCAGATCCAAAGGACTGAATTAGCCTGAAGATATTCTCTTCTCCGGTTTGCAAAGAGGTAGGTAATTGTTTTTAAAACAGGGGAAAAAATAAAAACCACAGGTCAGCACCGCTTTCTTACTTTCCTTTGCTTTTCCTTTTTGGGCACTCAAGTACTGGATAGACAATTGAATTTATAGGAAAGCCCGAAAGCCACTCATTAGAGATCATCCAGGGTTATAGATTAAACTCATGCACACCCAGTTTGGGAAGATACAGGGTTGCAGATTTCTACTGAGTCACTGTCATTCTGGTTCAGGAAAACAGGCTTGGCCTGTTTATAGTGTTACAAATCAGAAAGATCACATTTGCAAGCTTCCTTCCCCATCCTTGAAATTCCAAAACCAAGTTTGCCCAGGCGGAAAGGTTTTCTGGAGTTTGGGGGAAAGGATGGTCATATCTGGAGGCAGGTATTATGATTTTGTTGCAGATGTAAGCTTATTAGCAGAGGAAGCATTTGTTAATCATGATGCCCCAGACTTTGACAGACTTCTTTGCTTCCCAGTTACTTGGTAACTACCAAGAAGCATTCAGTTTGCAAACAGTGCTGCAAATGAAGTGGTTCAGCTCTCAGAATTGCACTTTTCACTCCTCTCTGCTCAGAGGCAATTGTGTCAACACCTGTTCTCTTGTGCTCTGGGATTAAAGGTATATACTATCGTGCACTGAAAAGGGTCTTTTCGGCCTTTCAACTGCAGAACAAGTGTTCCGTTTATTAGCCCAACAATGCGGAAGCACTCCAAAGCTTTGCAGGGCAGCCTTCCTTTGTCTTGTCTTATGATAAATAT